ATATATATATTTATTCTTCAGTCTTTTGTTAATTCATCTATTTCTCTATATTTATTTCCAACTGATTATTCAGTAGTACATATTCACTGGCTGTGTGCCGTTGAGTCTATTCCAACTCGTAGTGACCCTGAATAGAGTTTCCTAGGCTGTAATTGTTTACAGGAATAGAAAATTCCATCTTTCTTACATGGAGTGCCTGGTGGACTTGAACTGCTGACATTATGGTTAGCATCCCAGCATATAACCCACTAAGCTGCCAGAGCTCATTGCATATAGTTACAGTAACCGAAAAATCTCTCCAAGATAATACATACATATATTTCTCCTGTATACTTTCATTGGTCAGACAATAGGATGATCATCTCAGGTGTCTTGCAAAGTAAATCAATTAACCTATACTCACCCCAACTTGATTTCCTCCTTCATCTTGTTTAACAGCTTTTGAAAGACTTTCCTGATGAGCTGCGTTCTGACATCACCATGCACTTGAACAAGGAGATCTTGCAGCTGTCCCTCTTTGAGTGCGCCAGCAGGGGCTGCCTCAGGTCTCTGTCTCTACACATCAAAACCTCTTTCTGTGCTCCGGGGGAATATCTGTTGCGTCAAGGGGATGCTTTACAAGCCATCTACTTCGTATGCTCTGGCTCCATGGAAGTTCTTAAAGACAGCATGGTATTGGCTATTCTTGGTAAGTGTAAGTTGAAAAATTTCTCTGAAATGTTATTCTAGAGAATAAATTAAAGAAATAAAATGAGACAAAAGAAAAGAAAGAAATCTGCTATGGAGACTATGAACATTATAGATAAATATGTGAATTTAAGATCATTCATAATACAACCATAACTATTCATCACATGTGGTCTATACAACAACTATTCATCACAAAATGTGATTAATCCACTTATTATTAATATTATTATCATCATTATGCCACTTATTGACTCATTGACTATACACTGTTCTAAGTGTTATAGTCAACATTTTGTTCTTTTATAAAAATCCCATAGTGTAAATATCACCCTCATTTTATAGATGAATGAATAGCAGCTGAGTTAACTTTCCTCCATTTCATTGTCAGAAAAGAAACCTATTCCTTACTGATTCACAATCCCAGATTATTAATCATAATATATACTGCCTCGTTGTGAAATATCGGCTTGGTTTTCAAAGGGTGTAGCTGTAGGTTTTATGTAGCATCGATTCAAGGAGGACATGAACATTGAGTCTTATCTGTGCTAGAAATAGAGGAATATCACTCTGCCTCTATAATAAATTCTCATAGCAAAAATTAACCTAGTAATTTTATATAAGCTTTTTACTTCCTTAAAGAAAACTTAATTTGTGAAGATTGTATACCACAAAGTTGACGCCAAATATCAAATCACAACTGTTATTCATTGAAATGTAAGGAGCAATTGAAAAAAATTAGAATTGAGAGTTAACATAGAAAAAAATCCTACCCATAATGTTCTATGTGACTCTTAACAATCACTTTTATTTATTTATTCAACCAAATATGTAACTAATGCTTATCAAAAGTTATTGTAGTCCTACTAGTATTTCAGGCAATTCTAAACAGTCAAATCACAGCAGAAAAGAAAATAGCAAAGTCCTGTCCTCATGGTATTAAATCCGCATGAGGAGGAAGATCAGAGTTTGGTCCAGTGATAGCAGTGATACAAGAGGCAGGTGAATTCAGGACATATTTTGAAAGTAGACATGATTTACTACAATAAACTATACATAAATGTTTAGAATTTGTCTTAATTATAAGGGACTAATACATTAGTTTTTGTTTATTTTTTAATATCACAAGAACCTAGTATTCATAAATAGCTTGACCATTTAAAACACATTTCCACGTGTGCTGTCTTAAAGTATTCACAAAACTGAGGGAAGACAAAGGATGCATTTTCTCTGTTTACTCAAACGAAGAGCTAAAACAGGTTTTATACTCTGCATCCAATGTTCTTTCCACCTCTAAACAATACATGTATTTTATAGAATCACTATGAGTTCACTATCAAGGGTTATAGCTCATAAGCTTCAAAACTTCAACTCAGATCACCTTCTGGAAAAAAGGAAAGAAGTAACTTATTTTATGTCCATTGATCTAATTTAAAGCTTGCAACACACTTAGACTCTTATGATTATTTCCACTGAAAGCTGAAGAGACAGAGAGTAGTGAGTGATGAAAGGCCATGCATTTTTTCATTGCTTCATGTAGCCTTCAGCTACCACTTACCAGAAGAAAGACAGGGCTTGCCTTTCCAAGTTTTGGCTCAGTCTTTGACTCAGCGCCTTACGGTTTTCTTTCTTAGTAGAAAGACATGGAAAAGGGATGAAAAGAGTTTATTATAAATTTGGACTGTTCTTTATCAAAATTCTAGTGATGCATCCCATGTGTGCATTTTTCCTAAGAGAAGGAGAATTTATGGTTTCTGCTGCCTTGTCACCTTTGTGAAATCAGAGGCAAAGCATTCTGTCACTTTGAGATTCTAAATTAATTTTCAGTTTCCTTAGTACCACTATAAGTCTTATGTTGCTGTTTTGAAGGGTTGATTTCAACTCTTAACAACCCTTTATAGGGTTTCCGAGGAATGGCTGGTGGGTTTGAACCACCAACATTGATGTTAGCAGTCTAGTGCTTATCCTACAGTGCCAAACTAGGACTCCTGAATTCTTATAGTCACAGCCTAGTGACAAAATCTTCTTTTAAAAGGACATCTAACTATTTTTCCAGAATGTTATAGTTTAATACACCTGTAAGCAACTTAGTACACCTATATATACAGGTATAATGTGGAACTTTTTGCATAATAGTGGTGGATTTTAGATTTGGTAATTAGCAACAGTTCTAGCAATGGGGTATGAATGCATCATCCAAAACATTAAAGCATAATAGTTGTAAATTACTGGCTTCTAGATAACTGCCATCTTTTAAAAACATGATTCAATTGGATTTTCGTAAAAAATAATTCTACTTGCAGCTGAAAGATTTAACTCATTGTCATTTGCTATTGGCCCCAGGTGCCTCCATAAATTCCATGATTAACATTTCACGTGTTTGCTTCTACTTTTAAATATCTAAAGTGATTTAAGTGTATGCTATCACATGACCGTTCTGAACACTCCTGTGTGCTGTTAGAACTAAACTCAAACAAACAGAATGAATTACTAATATTTGCTCCTTATGATTAACATTCTTTCCATAGAGATTTATTCTTTTTTTCCTATGGTAATGTCTTACAGGACCAATTCAAAGTAATACTGACTTTTATAGACTTAAGCATATAGCTTCATGTTTGAACTATAGATATTGAATACAGTACATTCTGCCAAAGAAATGAATTAATATGTAATGTTGTTGTGGGGAATAAATACCACCAAACAGCTGTCAAGTCTTAAACTTATTTAAGGCACTCCACTATCCACTCAATGCAAGAAGACTTTTCTTAATCTGATGTTGAGAGGCAGTTGTCATAAGAGAAAGGACTTGGTATGCATAAGAGAAGGGATTTAGTATGAGGACAGAATTTATATTTTTTTTCACCTACATTTCATGTCAAAGTAATTGTGTTTTCCCTACCAATTTCTTTATAGCTGTAATAAAAGAAAACAAAGCACTGATAAATGTACTCTTTGCAGATGGCATTAGTCTGCCTAATTATAATTAAACACAAGTTATAGCTCTAACCCACATCATTTCCAGATGCATCTCATCAAGTCCCCCCCCACTAGTAGAATAAAAATGAATTAGTAAATATCAATAGTATTCTGAAAAATGAAAACTGTAAGAGACCGTAGAAATCTTTTCTTCTTTTAGAAATTAGGATATTGAAACTCAGAGCTATTAAGAAACTTAGCTCAGGGCTTAAATCTAGAAATTCACATGGCATTTCTGCAGTGAGGGAAGAAGCATATTGTTATTAACTAGTACCTGTTACCAGGACTTAACACAGGGTCCATGAATATGAATAAGTAAAAAACTTGTCTTTCTAGGGTACAAGTTTTGACACGATTTTGAAGATGTTTTCATAGTTATCGGCTGTATGGCCTTGATAGCTACATTGCACATATAGTCATAAGACCTTTAGGAATGAGACACATATACCTCTGGCATCAACTATTTGATGGATGCTACATTCATCTGTGATCAACCAATATATATGAGACACATGTTACTGGTAAAGTGAAAGTCATTATTAATATTTATAGAAAATAAATAGTAAAGAATTAAAACAGATTCTCAAAGGAGAAGCACTCACCCTTCCCCAGATTGACTTTGTCCATTCTTGTGTCAATGGGCAGGCATGTCCTGCTTCAAGTCAGATATTAGATGCAGGCTTCATGTCACTGCTGCCTATGGCTACCATGATGCTATTCCATAGCTCCCATGGCTTCTTCTCTGTTGCTGAGCCATTTTAAGCTTCTACTGCTAGTGCCAGACTCACTACCTGGACCTGGGCCTATGGTCCTCTTTTGCCATGGCACTGCCTGGGCCCCCATTGGGCATGGAGAGGAGATGTTCAACCTTAGCATAGGGTACACTCTATTACTCTGTAAGCAAAACTCAACTGACTAGCCTTCTGCCCAAAGGCATGCAACTCCACCTGCTATAGAAAGACTCCATCACAGGATCCTCCAAGATAATCCTTGCATAGGCCACTTTCATGGGCAATTGTTGTAGGTGTTTTAGGTTCATTAGCAAGTCTCCTACATGAACCTGCAAGTCCACCACCATTGTTTCTCAGCATTTTGTGACAATTTCAGTGTTTTAGTTCTTTCTTCTGTGTCAAGCAGGTTTTCAGTGAAGAGATCCTGGCTCCCTGGTTCAAAGAATACACTCTGTTCCAGACTTTTCTTACTAGTAGTGAGGTCTCCCAGAACCTTTGTGGAATTGGCCTTTAGATTCAATTTCAAGGCATGTCCTCCCAATATGAGCAGGAACTGACTAATCCCCTTGATAAACCATAATTCACTCAATTTGCATAGCCCACCAATCATTTTGTAAGTTACAAGAACACAGATAAAAATTCCATGTAAAAGTGGCCCATTGTACTGCAATGACCATACTATGGCAACCCTAAGTATGATGAACTTAAAGTTTCTCCAAACACTAATTCCTTAATGTAGAACATAAATGTTTATTTTACAGGACATTGCTTTATGACAAATTATCATCAACATGCAAAATATTAAAAACTGTTGCATTCAAAGCATTCTGGCTATATTCACCTTTCATCAGTACACAACTTTGAATTTTTCACTATCAGTTTAGATTTATACCAAAGTATACAAGACAAAACTTCAAGTCTAGAAGTGGCTAGTGACAGAAAATTTGAATTCTTCTGTACCATGTAGACTTTACTCATCCTTAGTGTCTACAATGGGGTCCTGGTGTGGCGCTGTGAGCTAATGCATCAGACTGCAGAGTCATTTGAACTACAAATTCAGTGGTTCAAGCTCATCAGCTGCTCCCTGGAAACCCTACATAGGGTTGCTATGGGTCGGAATTGGCTTGACGGCACTTACCAACAATAACAAGTGTCTATAATGGGAGCAAAGTAGCTCTGTATGATAAGCACTGGGCTGTGAAGCACAAGGTAGGTGGTTTCAGCCCACCAATTGCTATGAGTTGGAACCAACTCGATGATGGTGAGTGAGTGATAAAGTGAATGTCTAGAA